AAAATTTACTTTTACAATTTTTTATATAAATTTATAGTAAAAAAATATAATAAATATACTTTTTTAACTTATATTTTTAAGATAAGGTTAAATTATTCTATTATAATTAACATGGTGCTGAATTACGTGGGTCCGGTTTAACTCACCAGCAGAACCGCACCATTTTTATTAGCACCTTCGCCATTGCAAATTACATCAACTGTAGCTGCCTTTGAAATTAAGCATGGAAACATTTCCTTCCATTGATTCTGCACCAAACAAAAAAAAAAAAAAAGGAAGGGGAAAGTTTTTAGCAATCCACACTGCCAAACAATCAAAAATGTCAATTTGTATTGAAAATGATAGAATAACTCTGATAAAAATGTGCTTTTTAGTCTAAATTGCATAAAAAAATACAGCCTATGATATAAGTTTATCAAAAACACCCTCATTGAAATTATTTTTTTTATTTTAAATTCATTAATTATATTTAATTGGACCAAAAAGCATGAATATTACCTTTAACGCCATGTGTTTAAGTGGAGTGATATTGATGCCATATTCTTAATTGCTAACTTCACATATTTTTATATATTAATTGGACAATCATAACACAGTCTCAATTTATTTTAATTTTAGTCATTTTGTATACAATTTTATACTAAAATTAAGATTTTTTTTTTTAGTTGCAGAATGAAAGGTAATATTTTTTTATTTTTTATTTTTTATTTCATCTCACTCGCACGTCATGTAACTGAAATTCAAGATCTCTTATTTTCAAAGAGAAAATATGACCAATAAATTATTTAAATTATTGATAAAATTAAGATTAAATTAAAATTAAAGATGAAATAGTTAATTAATATAAAGAGACGTAATATTAAACGGAAATATAGCCCCACACGCTTGGGTGTTAGAGATATATATATTTTTTTATTTTAGTCAAAACTAATAATTTTTTAACAATTTAAACTCAAAAACAATATTCTTGGTTGAAAAACTTCTTGTCTTTTTATATTTAGAAAGATTTTCTAATGCTTTCATTAGATTTGAATGGGTTAAAGAAAACTTACCACATCCATGAAACTTTGAACAAGTCTAGGGAGATCCACGAAAACGACTCCCGTCTCTCTCGAAGCCTCAATGGATCGCTTCGGCCTCCCATTACCGGAATTTTCAACGGGAAACTCTTTGATGTACTCGTCATAGTTGAGTATCTCTCTCCCAGTCTCCACGCTCCGAACCCAGAGTGGTTCACCGGCGGTGGCCATTGTTTTTAGTTCTTCCATTGCTTGATTCACAATTTCCAGAATCCTTGACTTCTCTAGCCCGAAAATTCCAGTGTAGAAATCCAAGGAACTTCTGTTTTCTTGGTCATTTCCGGCCGAGCACGAACTGTTTGATGCTGCTGGGTGTTTTCCGATTGCAGCCCTCAGTTTCTCCACCTAATATGGATCAAATTCAAAATCTCATCAACATTATGTATAAGAAATCTCGTTCCCGGAAGGAAATGATGAAACTTGTCGAGCAAGTATAGTTATAGCCCATTTTTGTTGTGCTGTTGTATAGACTATCATCAGATTTACGTACCTCGGCTTTAAGTTTGGCATTCTCAATACGGAGTTGTTGTTCCTCAGTTGTCAAGGCGCTGTCCCGGCTGGTGGTGGCCGTGCCGCAGTTGGGGCAGCAAGCTTTGTTTATAGTCTCTCTCATGGCCTTGTTTTCATCCCGGAGTTTCTCCAGCTCTTGTTTGAGCAAGGAATTTTCATGCCGCTCTTGTATAGCCTGTAACCCCATCCCCATTATCACCATTCAAAACCAAAACATATACTTCGAAATTAATCTTTCAACCATTTGCGGGGAAATTAGAAAACACCGGTGTACCTTAATCTGAGTTCGGCGATTTTGGAACCAAAACTTGACTTGCCTAGGTGCAAGGCCTAATTGTTTGCTCAGATGCTGCCTTTGCTTTTCATCAGGATGAGGGGATTCCTTGAACAGCCTGAAAACATTTTCACGCAAATTTTACTCTACATGAAATTCATTACCACCTAATGTCGGCCGGAAAAGAATATTGAGGTGATGAAGAAGAAAAAAGAAGAACATCATGATAAAAGATTTTTTTGGGAACATTTTTTTTTCTAAAGATGTTAAAGTGAGACCATAAAATTCTGGGTCATCTTTAACTTTAGAAATCTTTGTTTCTTTTGTAAGATTGTCAGTTTGTCACTAACTTTTTTCGCCATAAAAGTATTCCATCAGTAGTACATCGTACATTGCTAAAGTATATATACGAGATTGAGGACACAACACATGCAACACATAATAATACACAAATATCAAGAAAAAAAAAGAAGATTAAACCACTTTCAATCCATTTTTGTCTCATACTAAACAAACCCATTATCTTAATTATGATTGGATTAATTTATAATTAATCTAAAATTTTGAGTTTATGTAGTGTTAGATGACACATGAAGGTATATAAAGGTAAAATATAATTAATTAGGGAAATAGTATGGTAAGAGTAGAGAAGGGCACATACGTTTCCATTTCTCTGATTTGATCTGCGGTGTGACGATGATACTTTTTTCTCTTCTTCTTTTTATTCTTGTCATCTTCTTCTTCTTCATCTTCAGCTAATTCCCTACCATCAAAATCAATATCCTCCGATCTTGATCTCGCGGGACCCGAGTTTTCACTGCTAATCTCTACTGTCTCATCCCTTTTGCCTCCGCTCCCTTCGTCTCCTTCCTCCACCTCCGCACTCGGCGTGGCTGCAGCTGCCTCGTTTGCCCCAGCACCCCGGAATATTCCGGCCTAGGGAAATGAAAACACGACAAAATAAGCAACAAATATATAGAAACATTGATTCTGGAGTTAAATAAGGTCAGGGATTCAAAGGCGGGCAATAGGAGTAAGCATAGAGGGGAAAGAAATTAATTAAACTTACAAGACTGAGGGAGAGAGCGGGAGAGGCAAAGAAGTCTTTGGTGGGTGGATTGGACATGTCGACGCCCATGGCAAAATGGGATTCGGATGGGGGTAATGAAATGGGAATTTTAATGGGAGGAGAGGAGAGAGGAATTGAGGTGGGGACTTTTTGATTTAAGGACATAAAACAAAAATGAACTCACTCTAATGCATAGAGGGTTTTCTCTATTTCCATTTTCTTGTGCTTTTTTTCAGGTTAAAGGAAGAAAGAAAAGGAAGGAAAGAGAGAGAAAAGGGCTGGTAGGAGTTGACTGTTAGATATTCTGAGTTGAAATGGGAAGACCCAACTAACTTTAAGCGGTTGAATCTGCAGCTATTTCAACGGTATTTTCAGGTTTACGTACGTGACCATCGCTTGGCTTAGTGGCTCAGCTCAACTATTTAATAGACGAGGGTGATGGAACACTGTAGATAGGAGAGTGTTTGCTTCCAAAACGGTGGATGGCAAAGCATTCAGTTTGGAACAAAAAACTAGAGTCCTCGAATGAAATTTTTGTTTGATTAAATAAACTTACCTAAACCACGAGTGGATAAATTGGTAGGGGATTTTTTCAATTTAATTAGAAATCTTAATTTTAAATTCTGAAAATATAGTTCTATTAAAATTCATGAGAAAGAGTTTTGTTGTCCGTTGGGTTTTGCCCAACTTAAATCCGAATTAATCATGGTCCAGTCAATTTTCGGATGCCAGTGGTCCAAAAAAAAAAAAAAAAGACCCTTATCCAATAGGAATTATGTATAAGATTTAGGGAGCGTTTCTTTAAGTGGTCACTGGTTAGTGACCAGTTGATAGCTGTTATATACTCTTAATAGTTGAGTTGAATTTTAGTGTATAAGAAAAAATTTTAGTAACAATTGATCTTCATCGATTATTAGAGTGTTTGGTTTAAAAATTTACAATAATCTATTAGTAATTAATTTTAATTAAATAAATTAAATATTTTAAATTATAAATAATAACAGTTATTAATAATTAGATACCAAATATTATTTATCAACTACACAACTAATCCAAGCAATCTTATTAATTATTAGAGTGCTTAACAGCTGCCTATTAATAGCAAGCAACTACCTTTGGTAGCTGTTAGCTGTTACGTATAACAATCAGCAGTTTGAAATTTAAAATTATATTTTGATTATCTTATCCCAATGCTTTTACCCAAAAAGTCTCCCAAGTTTTCAATTATATTCCAACCCTTATCCTTTGCTTCAATGCTTATTTCAATCGATAATCACTAGGGACGAGAAACATTTCCTCTAGATTAACGCTATCATAGTATTGAATGTGCTGCGGTAATATAATTAACATTGAAAAAGCAGGAGAGATAGTTAGAGCCATATCTAGTTTTTAATTTTTGTTATTTCTCTTTTTAATAGATTAGTGTTTAGATTATTTTTGTATCTATATATGTCAAAATATTAATTGTAGCAAAAAAGAATATTTAGGTGTTAGATTACGTGGAGATTACCTTCTAATATAGCTTCACCTCTTTTATTAATACGAAGGCATGTCCATTTTCTTCTTTAAAAAAAATTAAAAATAGTTCAATTGTAAGTAGTAATAAATTGCTTCCTCCATTTAATAAAAATAGTTTTAGTTTGATTTTTTTATTTTTAAGATAAAAAAATTTAGATTAAAAAATTTAACTTCACAAATGAATATTAATTGAAGTTTTTTTTTTTCTGCTATATATAGTTCTTGTTAAATAGTTTTACTTGATAAAAAAAATTTAATTGTGATTTATGTGCTATGTTAAATTCTTACCTAAATATTTTGTTTTAAAATTCTAAAAGTTAAACTAAAACTACTATTGTTGAATGACGGAGTACATAAAAACATCAACTAAAGTGACATGTAGAAAATTAATGAGATAATTAATTTAGGACAGGGTGAGTCATATATTTCTAAAGAAGTTGTATTAAATGAGTCATATGGTGAGAAAGATAGGGAGAAAGTTCTTACTTATAGGGAGAAAATTCTCCTCATTAATTAGGCGTTGTGTCACAAGAATATGTTAAAGGGTTTTTTTTAAGATGTAATAAATTAATTTTTTAACTTTTAATTTGCATGAAAAAAAGGTTTGTCACTTTGTCTAACATAAGTCTAAAGGTTATAAATTAATGGTGCATTAATTATAACATTTTATACTTGATTTTTATAAAAAATTACAGAGGTTATCTTTTTTTGTCACTAATACATACCATATAGATACTTTCATTTAAATGATTGATAAAATTAAAGTTAATTCTAAATGTTTCAATACAAATTAATTACAAAATGATGCAATTAATACACTTGTAGGATGTAGGTTAGAAATACGTGAAGAAATACACAAATTAATATTTATTTCCATACTAGTGACCTGTCTATGATTTTAAATGAATATATATCATTTATTTATTATAGTATTAATTAAGGTGAACAAATACAAAAATATCCTTAATAAGGGGAAAAGTCTTTCTCAAAACCAAACATAGACTAAAAGTTTAGTGCTTGTTTGGATTATTAGTTTTTCAAATGCAGTTAATAATTAATATTCAACCACTAATTTTATATTCATTGTTAATCTAAATACTCTTAATCGTTTGATTAATGGTTTGCTAACAATTAAACAAATACAAGAGATCAATAATTACTTATCGTGTACCAAAACAAGAGTCCAAAGTTTCATTTACGTAGAAGTACTAATACATTTCATTTTAGGACCAAGAAGAAAGACAAACAAGAGAAAAAAGAAGAAAACGCTCTTGTTTTGTTGTGCTTGAATTCGATGCTAATTGAGGGCGGACCCAGCGTTGTATTTTCTAATAATTCATTTGTACCGTCGGATGGTTCCTTACCTCCTTGGAGATAGAAAAACTGCAGATTAGCATGTGCAAGTAGTACTCCAATTTTCCTAATTAGTTTGGTTAAGCTTAATTAATTAAAACAACTCCTCACTATAGCCTATATAAATTAACATTAAAAAGATTCAAGTGGATGATTTCCCTTCTATTTTAATGATAATAAAATATGTGAACTCATTTTTATGTGATGAAAAACCTAATAAATCAAACCTAGAGGCGGCTTTTAGGGATTGTGTTGGACCCAAAAGAAAATCAAAACTACCCTTCTCCTATTACAGTGGTTCTTACAATTTCACACCTAATGGTCCTAAGATTCCAGGCCAAAAAGGCCAACCAATGGCCTTAATATCCTCTTCAGCTATTAACAGTGCAATGGATTACCTACTATAATTATACATTTTCAAGAAGAGAAAACCACAGTTTATATCACATAATCGATTGAGCGCACACTTGTTTTTACCCAAAAGAAAAATCAAACCCAACAAAAAGAAAAAAAATGATGCGTGTCAATCTCTTTTTTAAAGAAACACGTAAATTTCAAAAGAAACTCAAAAATTAATCATTAACGTATTTGTAAAGATGATCTTTGTTCTAAATTAATGTGTTTCGGAAATCAAACTATCACATTTAACATTTTATAAACCATTTGATGAGTTATCATTTTTAATTTTGGATCCTTCAACAGGTTACTCAAATGGTCATCTTCATCTTCTTTATTCTTGTGTATCTTCTTGTTCATATTAAAAGGGGAATGAAAAATAAAATAAAAAATATATATGTAGGGAAGAGAAGGAACTGGCTAATCAGCTCCGCTGAGCCGAGCCATATGACAAGAACTTGGGTCCTTTGTTATTATTATTATTATTATTATTATTATTATTATTATTTGGTTTTTTGTTTCTTTTAAGCAGCAGCTTAGAGGGGGCATTGGTGTCTACACCTGCTTTTATTATTATTGTTTTTGGTTTGGATCTGTCTTTATATCATTTAAAGGGTTGAAAGAAGTGATAGCAATTAATGAATTTGCCTCCAAGCTTTTCAATTTCTTTGAGAATCCTCCTAACATAGATAAAGTCAATTCTCTTAATCTTGGAAATCTTGGACCTTGGGTGGTTAATTACAAATATTATTAGCACAAACCAAGGAAATGGAAAACCAAGTTAAGCCCTTTTGTTTCTTTCCTCCTTTCATTTTCTTTTTTGAGAAAAAAGAAAGGGTGAAAATCATTGTTTAATATTTAGTTTTATATAAATCAACCTACTCAATTGTGAATTATGTTAATTGGTAGCTTTTATATCTTTTGAAAAAAATATTTGGGCTTGCTGAGGAAGCATTTTGCAATATGCCTTTGGAAAGTGACACCCCTATCCATTTTCTTTTAAAAAATGGTCTTTAACAGAGTATACATTTTTTTATTAGTGGGCCATTTAAAAGAGAAATAATTAATTAATTTTTTTTTTCCTCTTATCTCTCCAAATATCAAAACACAGATTTAAAATTGAAGGTGTTCAACTTCAACACACACAGTTGTAAAATCCTTAAATGGCTATGTTATGTTTTAGAGAATTGCGATTGGATCCCACCTTAAGGGAGATGGAAAATTGGAACTCATCAAATACTAAGATGAGAATAACTTGTACTTGTCAATTGAGTTGTACAGATTATTCTTCTAAAGCATAATTAGGTTTTTTTATTTTGTTTTATTTTATCAGTATCTAAAGCATAATTAATAACTCTCTCTGAATTAAAAAAAATCACCAAAAATTGGTTACAAAAATTCTCTAATTTAAATATCTTAGTTTGGGATTAATGTCAATGATTAAACTTAAACTCTTACAATGTCATATGGCTAACTTTTAATGAAAAAAAAAAAAACACTCTTTTTAAAAGTTAATCCTCTATCCAAGTTAAATCATAGTTCTCAACTTATAAGCAACTTCAAAAAAAAGCTCCTTAAAACGCTCCTTCACCCTAACTTTAATTCCCCCCACCCCCATGAAACTCACTTGACAAGTTATTTATTTATTTATTTATATTATTTACTAAACAAAAATCTGGCAATTTAAACAAAGTTACCAACATTTCAGGAAAACTTTTACAGCAACTTCAAGCACCACAACAAATGCACCTAAAAAGGAATAAAAGTTGTCCATCCCCAGCCTTTTATCAGAATTTCAAAGGATTTCCTTTCTCTACCTTGCTCAACACCTAATCAGAAAACAGATGATTAAAGAGGAATTCCCTTCTACCACAAAGCCATGGCTATCATCCACCAACCTTCACAAATTGCCAACCACCATTGCGGCTCAATGACCACATCTTCTTTGAGAAGTGTGGTATCATCTAGAAATCTAAGGTTCAAGACTCGACGATCCCAATCCTCATCCCTCAATTGTATTAGTTCCAAAAAAAAAAAAAAAAAAAAAAAACTTCACAAATCATAATACAATTAACAAAAAAACCAAAACCAAAAACAAAAACAAAAACAAAAAGAATGTGGGACCACAATAAAAGGTTACAAAAATAGGTTAGTAATGGCAGATTCTTTTTAGCTTTTTCAAGTTTTAACTTTTCAGAACACAAGTATCAATCTTCCCAGCATCGGCACTCATGTAATCCCAAATTAAGTTTAAACTTAATCCTGTATTTCATCAGATTAAGCTAAGCATTGACATTTCAATAACTGATCACGTCACACAATAACCATAATCAGGTTAATGCTCAAGAAAACAAGAATATTTTGGTAATGGTTGTTATTATCAGCCATTGGCATGCATAATTAAAGTTTTGGTGCCATATGGGTTATGAATGATTAAGTTTATCTGCAGTTCAAATGTTCATTTCTAGGGTTTCTGCACTGGTAGTTAGGAATGGTAGATAATATGAAGCAATCGCATTGTTCTTAGGAAAAGTAAATAATGAAATAAAAGCATTAATTGATTTGAGGTTTCTTTGGGGATTTCTCTATCAACTTTATGCTTCTTTTATCATACATTCCCAGCAACTTTTTCATCATCTTAAATAAGGCAAGCAAAAGGGGAAATCAAGAAATCTTACAAGAGCGAGCCAAGGTGTATCTTGCTTTCTTAATTTTATAGCATTTCTAGATTTCTTATGAAGCAAGCATAGAGAGCTAAAAAAAGAAAATGAAATTTCTTAGGAGAAAAAGTTGGGAAAAGGGTGACAAATTCCATAAAATTATGCTGGCAAAGACGAAATAGAATGATGGAGGTGATCTAAAAGGCTACTAAAGAGGGGCAAATTCTTACAAATCAAAAGGAAAAGGAGAGGGTGGCACACACAACATTAAAATATGATGAAATATCACAGAAATGGTGTCCATAGAAAGTTGGAAAAGCAAGGAAACAAGTAATTGATAGATATGGAAAACTGACCATAAATCCAGGCTCCAGGATTGCAGCATGTCAAAGAAGTAACATCTACACCAGGAAGTAGACATAAGAGGATAAAGTATAAGAACCTAAAGTGAATGGCAAGAACATAAATTTCCTAATTGAAAATGCAAACAACCATTTCAAGGGCTTCTTTTATTTTTCTTCCCATTTATTATTTCATTCAGCTTTAAAGTTTTGTTCTCGTATCTTTCAACTTTATCTAATGAAAGTATATTCCAATTCTCTTTTTGCTTCCATGATTTATTAGTTCATTGTGTTTCTACTTATGGTTACAATTCAGGCTTCTACTGCCGATGAGGTTCAATCCATTCACTAGTAAGGCAACCTGCGGCAACAGAGGTAGCTGGGGGTATTCAATTCTATCTTCATCTCAAGAGTTAAGAGTTAACACAACCACACAACAAACAAAACTCATGCAATTAAACAAAACATAAATAAACACTACCAATATAGCATGTTGTATGGGTAAGGATTGATGAAATGATATTTTAATAATAAGTATCCAATCATCAGGTTAACGTAAATGCCAATACGGCACGCCATATGGATAAAATGACCATGCCACAAAAGCATTGGGCCCATGCATGTGAAATATCATCAATATCAGGATATAATTAAATTAGACAATGAGTCAAATAAGGATGCCAGGGCAATCTGTTTTAGCATAATCAATATGATGCTTGTAATAGCATGCTTTTGTATAATAGAACCAACATGCTATCTAACTTTGAGAGACAGTTAGCTGTTGAAGAGTAGATGAAAAATGGTGGTTTTGTCAGTCAGGTGAAAACCTACCTCCAAAGAGTGCCATGAAATAATTTCTTTGATCAGAAATGAAATAAGTGCTAAAACAATTGAACAATGTTGGTTTACACAACTGGACTACATCTGTGCCTGTACACCCATGTCACTCATTCATGAATGCCATAGAGATCATGTAAGTTTTAATGGAAGAATAGATTTCCACCTTCATTTGTCCCTTCTTAGTAATTGAATTACTTAAGAAAATTAGACTCTCTCTACATGAGGTGTACACACATGTACAAAGAGTTAGTTGAGATAGAGCAGTGGGATCCAAAAACAAAAAATTTATGCACAAGGTACCTGAATAAATTAATATACACAATAAACAAACTATTACCAATTGAAGGAAAAAATTTAAATAGAAGAATGACTAACAATACAAGCTACCCTACCATCATGTAAATCTAGCAGATAGAATTCAATTACTTATGATTATTATCATTTGTTCATAAACTACGCATGAAATTTTTCTGTATGCCCTACATCAGAGTCAAAGGTTTTATCATAAAAGTATGTCAACCTTCCATTTAAGATCACTTTCTACACGTCATTAGAAAAAAGTAATCTAGGATTTTGATTATTCATGTTTTGGAGCTTCAACTGTAATATGGTTAACTGAACAATTAAAGTGGTAAAAATGCGAATTTTATATTGAGTTCTTTCAATTGAGTTCTCCCATGTTCAACAAAATTGGGCGCAGCCATAGTTTAGCATTCCATCCAAACTAAAAGTTAGGTTAGACCAATCTCGATAACTTTACATTTGTTTAGAAAACCCTGACAACAGAATTAGAAAATTTTAATCATCTACGACTCACAGTCATCATTTTATCTAAGATGGCAGCTCCTTAAAATTTTGATCGTTAAATTCAATGATATAAAAAGGGGTTTGAAGCAACTACCAGTCCACAACTAACTTGCATCTGCATGCAATATGGTCGAATATTCATGTTTATGGCAACTGGAGAAATAATGCCAAGTGGATTTTTACACAGTGTATAGTCTTTATTACCAAAAGAAATGCATTATCCACATTTTTCTTGACAGTACCAGATTGACCTAACCTTTTATGTACAAGTTCCTCTGAGAAACTTTCAAACAACAGCTAAATGAGTTCTCAAGAGTGTAATGAAGGGAATTACAAAAATGTTAGTAAGAACTGCCAATGCAGTACCAGATTTATCCCATACAGGAAAAGATAAGACATGTAATAACAAGAAAGGAATTCAAAACTTACATATTCATACTAAATAAACCTTCACATCCACTACCAAGTACTGAATGGTGCCAGTTCAGGTTGTGCCTGCCATATGTGAAATGCAGCAGTGTACTGGTTGCAAATTATCTTTGCTACAATTTTAGCCCAAATGTGATTCTAGAGAAGAGAACATTTGTCTGCTCTTTGTCTGATTAAGAATTAACTTTGATGATCTGGACCTCACAACAACAACAAACACATTAGAACTCTGAACAAAGAAACAAGTTGCTCCGTACAAATTTTGAATGCATATGTGCATATCTCAGACATCACTCGTTGAACACTAACAAGTGCAGAATACAAACTACAAACTTTTTAATGTTGGTCCTAGTGAAACCATGGTATTAGCAACAGCCTTCAAGAGTTGGATTGATATAAATTTCCAATAGATTTGTTATTAGCAAAGCTAAGTAACTACTTTGCAAAACCTTGATGGTCATTTAAAGAACCCATGCACTAATGTAATGGATCAAACACCCAATGGATAGCAATTGGCATATGAAGTATAGATCATGTGGAAACACCTACACCATTTATCTAACTAACTGATTGCTTCCAAAGAATGAGCACAAGAGTAAGACATAAGAAACTAAAGATAACAGATAAATATGTGAAAAGACAGTTACCATACTCATGCATGTCCCATAGGACATAAAGTTAACTAAATGAGTAATTAACAGGAAGCTATAATTTCAAGGGGTTGGCTGGTTCCATTTGCAACGCCCCACCGCCCCCCACCACCCCCACTCACATACACACTCCAAAGAGAAAAAGATAAATATAAAATCAAAATCTAAGTGGCATGTCCCACCACTAAAGAGATAAGAATGGCCTGTAACCATCCATCCCTAGCATGGAAATTGTAATTAGTTATGCATGATCATTCAGATTGCCATCACATTCCAATGGAGAAGGCTTTATGATTTGATGACTAGTATGAATTTATGCATAGTTACACGCTCTGCCAACACCATCATCCGCACTAAGAACAAATTTATTTTCTCATCACAATTCAAACAGATTCAGGGCTTTATTATATCTTCCTTTCTTTTTGTGATTCTTAGGCACAACCCAATGTTAACATGGCAGCTGGCAAAATTGTGATAAGTATATAAACACACCCTTCTAAAAATTTGAAGCCAAGTAATTGATTCTTTCATGTGTCATTCATTGCACAGCTTTCTATTTTATTTTGAAATATCAAATCAAATATAGATAATTAGAGAAGCTACTTAAATCTAATTCTATGTTTGAACACGAATCACTGCATTTAGCATTTCACCGAGAAACTAATTGAAAATGCTTCAATTCATAAGCAATCATACCTATGAATTGGATATAGGCATCAAATTTTTCCTGTCAAAATTTTCAAAGGAAATGTAAGATATTAACGAAATAATGCGAAGCCATACATCAAATTAATCAAATAGCAGAATTTACATAACGAAATGATCGAAATGATGATAATGCCTTTGATTTTCAAGGATTTTCGTTGGTTTTGCTCTCTTCTTCCTCTCGCAAAAGCAATTGAAATTGAACTAAACATAGTAAAATTGTCTTACCTTGCGACATTGCAGCGATGGAAAACTGAGATTAATGTTGTGCGGAAGAGTTTCAGGTCTCCAACAAAAGGCGTCTGCTTGGCAGCAGAGAAAACTGTCAGGATTGGGAAAGTTCATGATCAAAGAACGCATCGGAATTTTGCAATTTCTTTTTTCTATTTGGTTTCATCAATTAAGTCCTTATGGTTTTCAAACTAATCAATTGAGCCCAACTGGGAATTTGCTGTCTATTTCCATTAATTTTTGTTTTTAATTTTTTGATAATTGTCTGTTAATTTTATTCATCACTCCCTCATCTCTGTCAAAATAACTGTATTTTTTTTATTCAAGTTTTATCATAAATTAATTATACTATATATAACAGGGTGGGTTATAAAGGATAAGGTTAAGAATAATTGGAATATTAGAAAGATGAGTAATTCACTTATCTACAATTTTTACATATTATACTTATATAAAACCTTAATAATTCATTTTTTTATTTTTAATAATTGAGATTTATCACGATTTTTTTAGATTAAAAAAATAATTATCTTTAATAAATGTGAATAAATCTAAACAATTGAAAATAAAAAAATGAATAATTTTATTATTGTAATATATTAAACTTGTATATAAATGAACCCTACTCTATTAGAAAACCTATCTCATTTGTCATATTCACACAATATCTATGCAAAAAAGTGTGTAAAGCATTTTTCAACAAATCCTTAATCTTCCATATATAATTAGATCTTATCTCAATTTATACTATTTTTTGTAAAATAATTATATATTTTTTTTACAAATTAAAATTTTAATAATAATTTACGTATTTATTTGTATTACTCTTATTAAAAATAAAAGTAAACAGAAAAGTTTTGGTAATATGACAAATAATTAAAAATAATGAATAACAATAAGATTAAAATATAATAAAATGTTTTTCACTTTTAAATAAAAAAACTAGTGTATCACACACTATACTTTTCCTTCTCCTTAACCCATTCAACCCACATCCTAACCTCACTCACCATTTCCAAGCATAAACCAATTCCTTTTTTCCAACTCAATGGCATAAAACCTCCACAGAATCGTTTTTACGTCTCATGTTTGAGAGCTGGACGGTCGAGACTCTTGGCTTACTCTTGCAGGCTTTTCCAAAATGATGGCACCTTCTAAAATTACTACATGGTTTGTAATTTTACTTGTTTATTTTTTAATCTACGTTTTTTTTTTT